AGAGAGAGAGAGAGAGAGAGAGAGATCCATTTTAAAACTATGTGCATTAACTATACTTTTCCCCATAGATTAAGCACTCCACATGAATAATTTAGCCTCTTTTATGCTAATGGGATCATGAAAGTATCCCCTCTGTGCCGTGTTTTCTCCCCCCCACCACCCCTTCACGGCAACTCTTCTCAGCTTTCAACAATGGCCCAGCCCCTTCCCAACAAACCATCAGACAGACTTATTGCACTGTTTTCGCAGCAGACACCTGACTAGCATGAAGCTAACATGTAGCAACGAGGCTAAATTTGCAGCTATTTAGGAAACACTGTTTCCTAAATAGCTGCTGGTGGTTTTTTTTTTTTTCCTTATTCAGACAGTTTATCTTAGCTGGGCTTTTATCAGTAACTTTTTACTTACTGTTCCTGAGTGAGATAACTTTTAAAATTGATGAACATTGCAGATTCATGGCTGGTTAAATGTTTAAGCGGCCTCCGTTGCCTTAAAGCCAGCCAAAGTGCACTTCTTCCTACAGGTTTTATGATTTCTTCAATACGGTTCTGAGTTTTCTTTCAATAACGCCTAYCCAAACATTTGTGTGTATACATTTACAAGAGATACACACCCTTGTTGCGTCAGTATTGTGTTACGGTAGGGGTACTGTGTAAAAATTATCAGTCCTCCAACAGCTGGGAGGGAGAACCATGAAACAGCGGGGCTTGGGTCGGCTTTATTGTTTATCTRTTGTTTATGGGCGAGTGTTCAGCTTTAATTGCTACACTAAATTAAACTCTAACAGGCACTTAAAGGCAACCGACTAACGCATGCACATATACACACACACACAAACACACACACACAATATATATATATATTTTATACACAGAGACACACCTCACTGATCACTCTAGAGCTGGAGTTTAAACTACTAAAATGCAACAAGGCTTCCATCTTGTGTTTAGCAGAGACCGCAGTGTTTTTTTTTTATCCACTGTTTATTCCTTTCCCTCTCCACTGTAACGTTTTGGAACCTTGAAGTCCAAAGCATAGCTGTTAAAAAACAAAATGAAGTCAAAAGGTACAAAAATGCAGTATTCAACAGGCCTTGTTCATGCTGAGACACTATAGGAGTCGTGTCCCCACAAGGAATGACCCTCTCCAGAGACCTCAACCACAAAGACTTTCCTGAGTGGGGCCCCTAGCCAGGGCTAAGGGGGGGTTCACCACACTCCCCACATATACACACACGCAAATGTACCACAACACTATCAAGCGCAGCACGCTCCCTTGGAGCCGAACACTCAAGCACTCCCTCTCTCTTCCCTCCCTTTCTCTTCATCTCTGCCTCTCTCCGTCTCTCTGGGGAGTCTGTCTATCCGMAAAGCGTGGGGATTGTTCAATTGCTGAGAAAATGTACAAAATGCTTTCTCCTCTCTTATGTAGAGCCGTTTCCATCTACAGTAGATTCTGAGAACTGTACAGAAATACCCCMTTTGCCGAGCACTCAAGATGTCGTTGTGGATTTGGTCTTCATGCATAACTAATAATTACAAGTTCGAGACTGGAGCAGAGGCATGCCCCCCCTCACGGACTTACAGAAAAGTGCACAAATTGGTGCCGTTTTGGGGATTTGCACTACGTAATTGAAGGCATTGGGTTTTATTGTGTTTTGCTTTGCAGAGAATTTCCTCATATTGCTCCATCACACTTTGGCTGCTTAACATTTTACAGACACCTGTTTGGAAATGAGTGCTGTCTTGAGGCATGCACATTCATCAAGTTTAACTCCCTGCAACTGATGTCTCTGATGTTTCCAGATAAGCTTGGAAGCGCTCCAAAGAACTGTTAATCAAAATGACATGCACACAGAGCCGGGGAAATTATTGTGCATTACCTTTTGAACCATTGCTTTTAACTGCTGATATTTATTTGTCTTGCCAGATCATCATTCTAAAAGTCAGTCAATGAGAGGGCAGTGTATTGTAAGCTCTGAGTCATATTTAGYTAGAAATTGTGAGAACGTAAATAAAACTGTTAAGATCAGTGGGTTTTATGGRGATGAATTTGATGGATCCATATATGCTTAACCTTGGTTTACATCTTTAAGAATAAATTGTATTATGTCAGAATAATATCTATTTTCACACTTAAAAGTGCTTCAGAGAATGGCCAGTGTTAAAAATGCCTCAGTTTTTGGGGAAGAAATGAACAGCGGGTTTTTTTTTTAATTCAACACACAGATGCTTCTGGATCAGTTCTTAGGGCAAATGTTTTTCAAGCTACAACCACACATAAAACACACCTTTCAAGTTGGTGGAAAGCAAAAAAAAAAGTTGACGTTTTTCTAGGCAGCTGGAACCAACAAGCAGTGAGAGTCTTATACACTCTTTCACTTTCTCCTCCTCCCTTACAGTTGCCTATCCATTCTTTCTTCCACAACTGATCTGCGTTGTCACCCCTTTTAACAGGGGCCAAGCTGTTAAAGACCCCATTACTGAAGTGAAGCACACATTTCACATTGCCTCAGTGGACTCGGCAGTGCGGACTACAAATTTTATGCTGAAATGTATTGAGAAAGGAGGCGAGTTCATGCGTGGAGTGGAAGGCTGGAGAGGGAAAGCTCTGTCAGAATGGAAGGGCCAGAGTCGAGAGTCAGCAAGCGCTTCAAGCGTTAACGTAATTGCAAGAATGTGAAAAATGAGGTGGCGAGGCTCCCAAGTGAAGCGAAAGGTCAGAGCATGCCTCACACAAAACAACTGGCTAGAGGACGGCCTCATTAGACCATTAAATCAGTTGCCCTTGGTCTCCTTCTCTTTCCCTCTCATTCGCTCTCTTTTTTTTTGGCTCGACTACTTTTTCACCTTCTTCATCCTTTAACCTCTGTACAGAGATGTCTTTTCCTCACCCAGGTTTTTACATTTCTGCTCATGTTCTAAACTGCTTACTTGTTTTTTTTTTTTTTTTTTTTTTTTACCATAAAACGTTATGAGCTACTGGTTGTTGCATTTAGCAGGAGTTAGTTTATGTGGGCCGAGCTGCGGCACAGTGCTGTACCGTAACTGTCTTTGGCCCGCATTGATCCGCTGTTACTGGATACGGTGGGGAAAGGAGTCGATAAGTGCTCTGTGGATTACAGGTCACTTGTACTTATGTGTGTAAGATAATCAATAGGCAGTGCATTTCTTTTCTCTGAGCCTAACTCCACCTCCACCTTCTTTTGGCTGCTCTTCATCCCCATTTGTAGCTTGCAAAGAGGAGAGCAAAAACTCTTATTTTGCTTTTTCCGATGCTTCATTTCTTTTCYTTTTTATTTGTTTTAAATTTTGTCAATTTTTAATGGTTTGAACGTAAAAGAAGTTTGCCCGTACAGAATATTTTCTGTGTGAGAGGATATATAATGTTGCTTCCGGTACAGATCCATTAATGCATTTTTAAATAACCTTGAAAGTGTGACGTGTCAGAGGTGTGTTTAAAGGGATTTTTTTTTTTTTGATGTGGAGTTCTTTGGAGAGTTCATGACTAATTACTGTTTAATAAGCCTTGATGTTTCCATCAGTATTGTATTACTCTGCTTTTTTCAGGAAGTATCACAACAATCCCGAAATCTGCTGAAAGTGTTGCACTGGGAGTGCTACAGCTAGCTGCTTCTGCAAATTGCACTCACAAAAAAGTGTAAATAACCACGCAATATAAAATAGATGGTGGTTTAAAAGATTATACAATAGCGTTTGCATGAATTGCTATTAAATTCTTGAGATTGGATATGTTTCATACTTTTAGCCACACCCAGAATAGCTGTTAGCTCAACAATTTGGTCACAATTAAACTCCACACTRGGTCTGTTCATACATCTAGAACAAGTTGGATATTATTTGATCATTACCTGTCTAAAGAACTCCATTAAAAAAGACATTGCCCCATTCTTATGCCTATTCTACTGGACAGACACTTAATCATGTCCTAATCTTACTCTTTCCAACTGGCCTAGACATCAAAGTGTGATCYAACTACTCCTGACACAGCCAACCACAGAGGCCTTCTGTGGCCCTCAGTCTGTGGTCAGTAATGGTTCAAAAGCTGCAACTGTTGTTTCTGCCTGGACACAAGAAAATTATTTAAACACCACACAGGACACGGTCTATCAATACATTTTATCTGTCATTGGCAAAACGATATATTTAACTGATTAAAAAAGCTTTACCCCAGGGGGAAACGTTAGACAATCAAATAAAATGTCATTAAAGAAAAAAGTGGTTATTTTCAGAGGGCACCCATGTTTAGAGAAAAAGACAAAAACACACACACTGCTGTCAGTAGAAAGTATAAAATAGAAACCAAAGGTGTTCAAGGAGCAGTTTTACATTTCAGGTGTAACACAGTACCATTTCTAAACTCACTAAATAGCAGTTGTTTATTTAATATAATTTACATGTCCAAATTGATACATGTCATGGCAAAAAATAAAAACAACAACAACAACAAAAACACAAGAAAGACAGCTGTGGCACATGCTATCTAATAAATTCAAATGCTCTTGTTTTGAAATGCATTATGAGTGTTTGGCAGGTTGACTGCAAGATAACACGGGACTCAATGAGACTTAATTATGGGCTGTTGTGTGGGCAAACTTAATAAGGTTTAAATTCAAGTCAGAACTGGCAGAAAAATATTATTAATCATCGGCTTGTGTTCGCCGCTCTAAATAGCAACATTTAGGAGAGCTTTTTTACGGGCTGGGTGTTTTATGTTGGGTTTTGCTTGTGTTTGTGCTTGAGTGCCACAGAGGATAAGTGTGTTCATTTTTAGGTGCGACTGTGTCAGTATGGACGCCAGTCAAAAAATGGGATAATCCAAAAAGGTGAAAGGAATGTCTGGGAACGAGGAGGGATGTCGTTGCTGTAGATCAGCTCTTTCCGGATTAGCATGCCCTGCGTGGACATGCTGTTTGTCTTAAGAGCTTGAATAAACATGGACACCCATGCTTTTGCGTGTCTATTTTGGTGATGGCTCACCTTGTTCGCTGCTGTTGTCGCCGCTCTGTGAAGCGTGTCCCCCGCTGGAGGGCCCCGGCGTGCCGGCTGAGTGTGTGGAAGTGGCGTCATCGTGGTCTCTCCAGGAAGCTGGGTTCTGAGGTTTGAGAACAGAGAGAGCGCGCAAGCATGGGATCCATCCAGCCATCCGTGGATCCAGCAGCGTATACCATCCAAGCCACAAAACAAGGACATCAGAGACATGGAAGGAAGAGGAAGATAAAAAAAAAAAACAGAGAAAAAGAAATTCCACATGAGTTTGCTGGAAGCATAAGGAGTGATATCTGTAAGCCTGTGTGAGGGGTACTTGGCCTGCTTATACTATCCTGGCAAGGCACAGCTTCAGAAAATCAGAAAATCATAAATAAATAGAAAGAAAATGATGCTCTAATGCGGCTGGCTATAAGTCAAAACACTGTAATCAAAGCGCTTCATTACAGCGTGAGAGCAGAACACAGCACCATTAATGTGGCAGCTGATTTGGAGAGCTGCGGGTAGAGCACTTGTGAATAATCATCTAAACACATATGGCAGAGCCCAGCGGAGTTCATTTATACCAGAACCAATCGAGACTTCCGTGTCAAGTGAGAAATGTAGAGGTAAAAAGTCCAAACACACCACAGCTGCCATTAATCATTACTGCTGTCAAAAATGAAAATAAGATATGACAGTGATTCTCCCGCTAATCTGCCAAAAAATGTGCACACGCCCGCACCGAGATACACACACACCCACGGAGGTTTGCAGAAACACACTCGCAGGCTAATGACATAACAAAGCAAGAAGTGCTTTACTTTTATATACACAAAGGCTTAAATATCAGCATGCTAACGTAAAAGGCGCATCTATAAACAAATACACAGCATTTAAGGCAACTTTTTTCCCTCTCCTCTGCTTTTCCTTCTGCCMTTTTTTTTCTTATTTTTCTTCTCTTTCCTGGTCATTCCCACTGCYCTGTCAGTGCACACAGGAAAACAGGATTTTCTATTGTGCAGGAAAGGCTTTATCAGTGCCACATGAAGGCAGGCTAGAGGTGGAATTTCCTCTGCCATTCAGTCAATAGCGGGACGGGCCGATCACGTCATTTACTACACTCATACCCACACAGGCRCAATCAATTACACGCACAGAGTGGACGTAGCCTCATAGCTCACGTAACCCRTACAAGTCTTTCCCAATTTAGCATGTCACCTGAGCATGATGACAAAATGTTGGCAAACGTGAGCCCAAAGCAGCCCCTTGAGCAGAGCTTAAGCCAAACAAACACAGGCCTGCACCAAGGCTTCCCACAAACCCCAATCCACTTCTCATTTCCYGTTTGTTTKTTTTTTTCTTACTCAAATATACATTAACACAAATGCGAGGCAAAATAAGAAGGAAAATGTACACACAACAAAATAAAATTCAAAGTAATAGACAGTTTTTACCATTTTGTCCAACTTGAGTTGTTAGGGGAAAAAAATTCTCTCATGCAGAGAAACCCTGCCTGCCTGCTTTGGCACCCCAGTCAGAGTGAGCTGTACTGGAGAAGGACAGACAGGGTAGAGCCTGAAGACTAATGGAGGTTTGCAGGGAAATTGAGGCTATAAGACAAGCCGCTGCCGAGCTCCCCCTGGGAACGCAGTCCTTAYGTGCTGCTGCTTGTTCTGCTGCAAMGGCGAGTCGACTGCTWCGCCTGTGAACGAGGCCCTTTTATCTGCTAAGTTTTTTCGGGAAGGCGGGCTGTTTTCTCAAACAGCTCGGAGCTGAAAACAGCGGACAGAAAACACACAAGACCCTTCAGACTCTGGGCTCCACTCGAGGCCTACTCAGCGTCAGCTGTTTGCCGGATGGCAATCAGATGAAGAGCTCGGAGAATTACTCAGAAGAGGGGTAAGAAGACAGGCCGAACAATGGCTCGTGCGTTGGTTATAACCCTCCACTGTGAGCTGATAGAGAAGTGTCCCTGCTCTGAAAGGGATGAGTGACTGTGCTGTGTTCACTCGCTGATCAACACATGGGAGCAGGGTCTGTTGTTAAAGTAATTTTCGGCTGCTCTCCACACACTGTAAGTTAAGTAAAATTGTAAATGTGGGAAAAACCCATCAATTCTCTTATCCTTGTCAAATGCAAGAAGACAACAGACAAAGAGGTAAGCTCCTGCACTCCCTGAATGTGTTGTATATTTAGGCCGAGCTCGGCTGTGCTCACTTATGGAGGAGCTGCTGTTGTTCCATAGAGAAGAAAATGACTGGGTTGTGCTTTCTAACAATATGACAAGACAAAGGACAGAGCTGAAAAACTGTGCTCGCTGCTCTCACACATGCTTACTCACTTATTCTTCCTCACCAGCTTTGGCCACAGCATGGTTTTAATGCAACAGTGCAATCGATAGGACTTAATTTAGCTATCATTGCAGAGTAATGTGTCATTTTTAATGGCGCTGGCACTAAATTAAATTCAAAGACACCTCAGTTAATGGTGGAAAAGAGAATGMTATTTTTGCTGTGATTTGCTGCCCTTTGGATTTAATGTGCTTGGATGCTGAGATATAGATAGAGACTTACTAGCTTGGCTCTTAAAGAGAGAAATAAAGGACTGCAACTCTTTATATGGCTGAACAATAATAATTATACTAACAAAGCATAACATATTAGGACCAGTGCAGACACTCCCTTTTTTAATACCTGTAAGTCACTACTTGTTCATAAACTTGTCAGCAAAAACAAGACCGCAAATATCACAACAACAGCGTTTTAACTTTGCACGCTGCACAAGACGACAAAAGCAACAGCCTCTCCGCTCCATGAATAATTTAGAGGGCCTCTCTGAGCTATGGCGGGTGCATCATCAGACACCATGCAACACAAACACACACAACCATTTTGTCACAACCCCCATGGGTCTGATAAAGTTCAAACAAGTAGTAGGAGGGGAAAAAAAGAGAAAAAAGAAGGGAGATCGTGTCACCCAAATTGTCTTCTTCAAACCTACACAAGGTAAAGAAAAGTAAAGCAAGAAGCAAATGCCTCCAGCCCATATGACGATTCCCTGAAGCTGGGCATAATTAGGAGTCAAACATGGTTCACTCCATGCTCTTCACTAATTGTGTTAAAGACCAGTGTTACCAGGAGGAGGAGGAGGAGGATGCAAGCGAGCAAACACGCATGTATGTGCCGGCAGAAACACACACACACACACAAATGCGCACAATAGGACGAGATAGCAAGTAAGACACAAAAGAAGTGCGGTCTCCAGGGACAGCCTTTTGCTGGGCTTAGCAACTGGCGGCTGATAATACAAGTTGTAATTAATATAAAAGCAGGAGACAATATGGGAAGGAGAGGCTCGGAGTGCAGCCAGGCCTCAGGAGAGAGGCAGAATGCTGCTGTCTCTTTTGCTCCTATCCCCTGTTTCTCATTTACAAACACCTGCCTGGCACCATTTCACTTTCCGCACTGCACTCTGCCTACATCCCTAGGAATTTCAAATAAAATTGATTTAGCAGCTTCATTGAATTTCACTCAAATTCCCCTGGAACCTGGAGCGAAGTGGGGAGAAATCTGTCTGTGTAGTCGCAGTTTAAGGTAGGTTGAGAATGGCTAACCTTCTTTGTGTGTGTGTGTGTGTGTGTGTGTGTGTGTGTGTGTGTGTGTGTGTGTGTGTGTG